GTGCTTTAAGTCCTTGATGCTTCCATCTTCCTGACGGCAAAGCATACTGGTGTCGCTTGGCTGAATGGGGTTGGCCGTAGAGGGTTGGCTCCACTATTTTGAAGAGATATGACCCAGCTTTAGCTGAGGAAGTTCATCTACTGATAGCAGCGAAGCTCTGGCAGACCCCATGCTGCCATAACTAAGCACTGACTAATACACGCTATGATGGAGCCAGCTGTTCTCGGCTGAAAGTATGTATCCTATGGAGCTGGGAGCTAGGGTAAGGACTCTCTGCAGCACGGACCTATCCTGCGTATGAAGTGCTTTTGCTTATGCACCTCAAGCCTGAAGACCTGAAACGGTTTCCTGCATAGAAAGCTGATTTCCTAGCTATTTTGAATTTCGACCATGTTTGAGAATGGACTTTGGCACCTTTGAAGTTTAGCTAGTTCACTGCACTCATCTCTAAGTGAATTTTGTAGGGCCAGTGCAAAGCTGCTTGGGCATACAGAGTTGTCCTGTAAGGATTTGAGGTTGTTGAATGGTGGCTCACGTTACCTTTTGTTGTTCCCCTTTTGTTGGTCCATGACTTCTAGAGAATTCACCTTGTACTTCCTGTTGTTCGCATCTTTAGGGTTAAGTTATGTGTCTGTCACATTTTGGAGCTGATTTTGAAAGCTCCAGACAGGGAGAGGAGGCAGGGCCAGCTGGAACAGAGCATACAGGAGGGGCCCTACCAAACTGTCAGTGCCTTGGAAGGCAAAAGCTCTCTGGTGCCAGATCTCTCAAATTTATTACATATAAAGTAGTTATGGCCTCTGCTGGAAAAATCTGCTGCCTTCATGTCATCTGGGTGAAAAGAAACAAGCAGCATGCATATGCCTCTCCTTGCACAATGCCCTTGCATCTGTGATAAGGTACACTATGTTCAAGCAAGAAAATTGGGTTCTGGTCATGGCTGATGTCTGTTAATATCTTTATGCCTCTTAAAACTGTTATTTCCAACAGCCCCTGCTACCATTGTAGAGGAGATGATTCTCATTTACCTGCTTTATAGAAAATCAACTTAAAAGCTGGTACAAGGTGACTCCAGGGAATGGAGAACTAAGATAGGACAAGATGCTGTAGCTCCTATATGCCACGGCACGACTGGAAGTGTGTGTGTGTGTACATCTGTCCATCATATGGCATGTCCATGAGCAGTTAAACGGAGGAAGCTTCTTGTATGACCTGACATGTGATGGGGTATGCTGGCTTCTTGGTCACATAGTAAGCTTTTTAAGTCATGGTGGGGAGCATTTGAGATGTGTAGTCCTGCAATGCCTTCTTCAGAGGCTGTGAACTCTGCTGAGGATTTTTTTTTCCCCTGCTGCTGTGCAGGGTTGTACGTAGAAGTTCTTGGTAATCATTGAGTGAACACATCGGGTCTGTGAGAACAGTGATTCATGTCTTCAAGGTTAGAGATTAGAGGGTTAGTCCTCATGGATAACCTAAGCATGGATCTTGTTTTATTTGGCCAGACCCTCTGTCTCCTGGAAAATACAAACATGCCTGTATACATGATTTTAAAACACTACTATGGGGGCATTTGCTGTTGACCCTTGTGTTTAGATGGCCTAGCATTTTCCATACAAAAATTGTGATCTTTCACTAAGGAGCCAGTAAAACTTCCATTGTTTGCAGTAGGCTGTTGACATTTGGTAGGAGAAGCACCATCAGAGAACAAAGTGCCTTTTTATGTTGCACTAAATTAGATTTGGCTTTGAAGGAGACCTAAACTGTTAAAATGAACTAGTTCTTTTTTCCTGCTTTCATTCTTTGGGAAAATTCTGGCATGCTACCAAAAAAAAAAAGTGCCTCTAGTGCTGGACCTGCTGTAACCATTGCAGCAGTAAGGACAGGAGCCATGGTGTTAGGAGCTGTCAGAGCAGCTGTGGCAGTGGTCACAGCAGAGTCTCGGAGAGCCTAGCACACGTCCTCCTGCCTCATGGCCACGCTGCTTTCGTCCAGGGAATTTCACAGAGCAGGAAACCCCTCCACAGCAAACCTCAGTTCAGCAGTTAGCCCCTGTTGTCTCTGTTCGTTCTCTCCCAACAGGTCCTTCCCTCCTGCCTCTTCAAACAGCACAACTCCTGGGTGGAAAAGAGATTGGGTCAGTTTGCATGGGTGGATGTAGCCCATTGCAGTAGAGAACAAGCATGTGCTCGCTGCAACCACAGGATTTTGTGATCTTAGTTCTGTCATCTAGGAAGCGACATACCTGCATCATCTACAGGGCAGAGAGACAGCCCTGGCACCTCTCGCGGAGCTAGGTCAGACCGCTTGCATTCAGCGTTACCGCCACCTTTTTGTCAGCCACAAGAAATTAAAACACACAAGGCAGGATTTCCTGTTGGTGTGGAAACCCTGCATGGTGAGCTCAGCTGAACGGGGCTGGCAGGCAGCGCTGGCAGTAATACCCGAGGATCCAGGCCCAGCTGGGTGTGGAGAAAGGGGAAGATGGCACCGCATAATTGTGCACCAGAAGCTGCACAGTTTGTTCTCTTTCAAGATTATTCTAATGAGGTAGAAAATGGTGATTTTTTTTTGATGGCTTTGAAGATTCTGAAAATAAGTTTGGCATTTGCATTTATTGAGAGCCTGGCTGTTTCAGCGTGTGTGGCAAGGCTAGGCAGCTGAGCTGATCCGGCAGGGACAGATCTTGCTCTCAAGCAGGGTGTGCTGCTTTCCGCTCCCTTTTGCTTCTCAGAGCCCTAATGCTCACCTGACCCTCTGAGCCACTTCAGATCAGTAAATAGTCAAAAACTTTGTATTTATTCCTTTTGTTGGGCTAGGGTTTTTTTTTTTTTCAGGATTTGTGAGCTGTATCAGTTTATCTACAGGTGAGAATGAAAACTGGGGCCAGCCTTAAGAAGCTGGTGAAACCAGACAAGGGAGCAGGAGCAGCCCTTCAGCAGCCACGAGCTGTTAAATTGGTTCAGCCCCTGTCGTGTAACGACACTGAAATAGTCGACAAAGCAAGCAATCATGACTGATTTCTTTCATGGCAGTGCCCAAGCCATATGCAACAAAGACAACAAAAAGCAATCAACGGCTAATCTCCTTTACAGACAAGCCCACACCAAGCGTGGGATGGAAATAGAAAATGCATTTTAGCTGCAATTGGCACAGCAGTGGTCAAAAGAGGATCCAGCGTGGATCAAGCCTAAGCTGTTGAGATGTTGAGGTTTCAGGGAAGATGCATGTTTACATTAGCATTATTCAAACTTTGTGTAACGTGGGATTTTGTGAATTCAATTGTTCTTGGGATGAATAGAAGATCGAGTATTGTCCTTAAACAATAGAACAGTAAAAACAACATCTGTGAAACAACATTTGTAGAAGAATACAACTATCTCCTTTCTAAGAATGCAGAATGGAAGCAGACAGAAACTATAGCTAGAATTGTTGGAAGCATTTTGTTTGCTTAAAGACAGTTGTGGGAATACTTGTTCAAGGGACTTAATAGCTTTTTATTGCTTTACATATTCAGAGCTTCTCCTCAGCCATCATGGCTCACTGTTGTAAATGTTCCATGTTTGCAAATCTGACCACAGGTCTTTCAAAGCAGGGCACCCACAAAATGAGCATTGCACCCATTTGACTCTGAATTGAAATGTTAATTTAAAAAAAAAAAAAAGGGCAAATATTATATTAAGAGCACCATGACAAAGTGGAGAGCGTCCCATTGTCCAGAGGCTGTGTTCATCATCCTTCCTAACTGTGAAACCGTCCTTTCTGTTCTTGTTGACCCTCCCTTGTTTGCTACCACCTTTAAATCTTCTGCAAGCAGTGAGATCAAAACGGTGTTGATGGAAGCTTTCGTAAAAAATGGGGCAGGAGAAATGCTCAGATACAGTTTTTTTTTTGTTGTTTTTTTTTTTCCTGAGCATAATATGTGTCTCTAGAACGATGACTGCTCCATATATATGTATGCTCCTGAAAATGAGATCTTAGACCTGTCTTTCTGGAGGGCAGACTTTCAGTTTGGAAATACAACATTGATACTTCAAGAGGACAGAGAATTACGGGGCTCTGTTGAAGTGATGATTCTTTTACCTATAGGTTACTGATTTGAATCTGGCCAGTACAATAAAAATATTTTAATATGTTCCAAGGTGAAGGATGTGATCCATATATGGTTCCACAAAGCATGGTAAATCTGCTTTCTAGCTTGTAGCTCTCATTTCCGAAATTTGCTCTGTGCTAAGTAGGGAGGTCTTTGGAATCAGTTGTTGAAACAATGCAGAGAGTAGCGTGGTCCTGCTGTCTTCGGGGTCTCCAGGCTGAGGCAGAGGTCAGAATTCTTTCATGTGTGATAAACTTCCATAGGTTATTGACAGTCTACTGTATATCACAGGTTGAAATTGAATGATCTTCTTCTGATAGACTTGGCCATTTTCATGGTTTCTGAACCTGCAGTAAATTCTATTGAAGGCTTGGAATTTTGGAAAGTAAAGGGAGGGAGAGGGAAGGAGATTTAGAGTTTGTAATCCCTGAGGCTGGGAGCCTTACGTGAATATCCCCTCCAGAGAAACAACATCACTGTTAAGTTTCTTTTTATGATAAACCACTTCAGGAAGAAGATGAAATGCTGAATTACAGTTGGGAAATGTTGTTAGATGTCAAGAGATGAAATCATATAACCATGTCTTAGATGAAATAGTAGAATGAGGGAAGAAAGAATTTTTTAGATTAAAAGGGGGAAAAGAAAAGCGGCCTCAAATCGCTAAAACTCTTCTGGAGATTGTTTTTTCTTCCTTTAGACGTTTGTGAGAAAACCTGGGGTCTGTGACCAAGAAGATCCACATATCCTAACCTGAGAGAACTGGGTCACGTCACTGGGATTTTATGCATTTGCCTCTGTACTAGAAATGGAAATATTTTCACATCCCTTTCTGCACTAAGTCAGCCCCCAAAAGGTAGGAAAAATGGATTGCCAAAAATAAATCTTTTTTTTCCCCCTTGTCTCTCTGCAGCAATTCGGCAAAATCCTTGATGTAGAGATAATCTTTAATGAGCGTGGCTCGAAGGTAAGTCCTGTTTCTGTACCCGCTTCTGTTGTTTTGATTGCAGGGTAAAAGGCAGTTCATTGCCTAGAGAATATACTCTGTAGAGATCA